AGCCCAGCGGGCTCCTCTGTCCATGGGGATTCTCCAGGCAAGGATACTGGAGTTGGCTGCCATGCCCTCCTCCAAAGGATCTTCCCAACCCAGGGATTGAACCCAGATAGAACCCAACCCAGGGATCAAACCCATCACAGGCGGATTCTTTACCATCTGAGCCAGCAGGGAAGCCCACCTAAAATCTACCCTGGCCCAAAGACAGCACTTGTTACTTTTCTCTCTTGCTTCAGTGTGCATTCCTCAAGAGCGATCAAGCATCTCATCTCTGCGTGGACTTCCAGCATCTGAAGACTGCCTGCACCTGGGGAGGTGCTCAGTGAACACAAATGGAATGAAAGAATGAATCTGATCAGAAGAAAACTGTAGCAATCAGTTTTATCTGGACAGCATCTAAAATGCCACTAGGGAAATTTTCTAAATCACAATTAAACCACAAAAATCCTGGGCAAAAAAAGCAAGCCATGGAAGCATCTGTCACATAAACCATTTCTTTCCCTAATCCAGTGTTTCTCAACTTTTTTTCAATATTGTCCTCCCCTCTTGAAAGCCTTTTCAGACATTTTTCTTCTAACCCTATGACATGTTAATAGCACAGAAATATTTCTGTACTTTATACATAAAAAAGCAAGTATAAGGTTTACTCTTTTTATTCAAGAATAGGTTCAGAATGACAATAAAAATGTTAAGTTACATTCTAAATTTTAAGGCTACTAACATTAAACTTAATAACTGTATTCACTGAGCAACTTTTAATGCAATTTTAATGTAAAATATGATATATCAGATTACATATAAAAATTACCAATTTCTACATAATAATAGCAATGTAACCAAATTTTTCAAAGACTTTAAAAACTGCTCCTTTTCCAGCAAAGGTAAAACAATTGAAAAAAAAATCTTCCTAAAAGTTATTTTTAATGAACTTAACTTTTGTTTTATATGAGAAAATCATTTTTAACTTATCCAGCTGCTAAATATTCATTCAGATATCATCAATATTTTTTCTTTTTGATTTTTGACATAGTTATTGGTGAGCTCAATAACTCTAATAAATAATAAAATATAAACTACTTTAATTTTCAAATCCCAAGTCACACACAGAACAGTAAGGGCCAAACATAAGCACTTAACATCCACAAAACAGCCAAAAGCAGCCCACACATATAAGGAGGTCACCAAGAGAGATACGACTTCAGGATTAAGCTATTGATGGTCAAAAAGGTCTCCAGCGATAGCCATATATTTGCCATAGGTTTGTAATAATGACCTTGCACACATTCTGCATATCTTCCATGAACTTGATGTCAAAGTTGCTTGTGTGGTACACAAGAAAAACCAATGAGAGAAATTTAAATGTTAAGAAATAGTATTTTGGCCACCAAGGTTTGAAGGAATGTCTGGAACCACTGGAATGTCTAAGAAGTTTCTGTCTTCCTCCAGAACTAATTTTTGCTGCCTCTGAGGTTGCAAGCCCTAACCTCTTATGGTTCCCACATTTATCCTCCTAGCACCTAAAGATTAAAAAAAACAAAAACACCAGTTTACCTAAGAAAACACCCATTCCACAGCTATCGTAAGAGCCCCACTACTACCATCATCTCCTTGGGTACTTCAAAAGAAAAGGGATTCCCATATTATCAGCATTTTCCCAAAAAAAGGAGCCTCCCTGTTTCTAAACATATAGACTTTCAGAGCTTGGAAGAACACTCAGGGCTCATGGCACCCCTTCATCTTCAGATGAGGAAACTTAAAGAGCCCTAAGAGGTTGAGAGACTGGCTCAATCAAGGTCACTCTATCGTTATAGATAGAGACCTTGTCAGTCTGGGTCCCTGTTGTATCTTCAAGCTAGCACCAGGCTTGGCACATAACATAATCAGATGTTTGTACACTTAATGAATGAATGGCTATTGGATAAATGAGTGGCAGAATTGAGAGCCCAGTTCACCTAATTCCTAACCTACTACTTTTCCAACTAAATCACCTGGTCCCCTTTTACTACCATTTGAATATCAAATAGTGACCTCAAAGACCATCAAATTTAAATTAAGTGCTTGAAAAGCTTCCCAGCTCTTTTAGTTTCACACATCCAGTAAGTTTAAGAGCAGGGTCTTGTGCACATGTGGTAGCACTTCAGCCCATTGAAAGTGAGGGACAAATGAACTATTTTCAACAATGGAAAAAAAAATAAATAAACATATTGTAAACAGTTTAAAAAAAAAAAAAGAAAGTGAGGGACTTTCCACAAATAAGCTAAGGGTACCGGGTCTACAAGGCAACATTTCTTACTTGCTTACCCTGCCTTGAGCTCTTATCCAGAGTTCTTGTTCACATGCCACATCTCCCTACCCAGACTGAGAACAGTGGAAAGTCAAAACTGCCTTCCCTTTCTAAGGCACCTGCCAAGTTTAAGCACAAAGCAAATGTTCAATAAATGTTTGCAACATTTATTCTGGTGGAAACAGGGCATCATGAGGGACAAAAGTAGATTTGGCATGAACAAAAGAATTCGGTTTGTACTTTGCTCATTTCCTAGAACCAGTATAGTACCTAACATGTAACAGGAGCCTAATTGCTGTGGGATTTTAAAAAATTAATAAAAGATATGGCAAAAAGTGAGTAATTATTAAGCTTTATTTTCAATTCTGTAGTCATTCATTCACTCCACAAATACATATTACCAAGTATCTTGTGTGCTAGACTCTCTGCTGCTTTGAAACCTAATTTCCCCCACAGAGTTAGAGCCATCCTCCCTAGCCAATGCCTGGCATTTGGTTCACCTTGCAGGCAGACGGCACAGCTAGCATAGCCCTATGTCTCAATACCTATTGTCCAAGCATTCTCTCCCAACAGTGCCCTGACCTAAACAAATACATCTAAGTGTTGCAAAACAAATAATCACAATTAAGTGCTGTAAATCTTTTTCATCAAGCCCAGGAATTTTAATTTTTCACTCCACATTTACCAGCTACTCCCAATCTTATTTCCTCAGGCATAACACTGATTAAAATTGTTATACATAGAAAAGTGGCTGGGAACTAGGCTAGCACATCAGATTGAGACCACACTGTGAAGAGCCTTGCATCCCAAGAACGTACGTGCGTGCTAAGTTGCTTCTGTCGTGTACAAATCTTTGCAACCCTATGGACTGTAGCCTGCCAGGCTCCTCTGTCTGTGAGATTTTCCAGGCAAGAACACTGGAGTGGGTTGCCATGCCCTCCTCCAGGGGATCTTCCAGACCCAGGGATAGAAACCAGGTGTCCTGCACTGGCAGGTGGATTCTTTACCACTGAGCCACCGGCGGAAGCCCCGTGCCAAGAACATGGATGGTTAATGTAATATACACCTATGCTGTGCTAAGTGCCTTCAGTCCTGTCCAACTCTCCGTGACCCCATGGACTGTAGCCCGCCAGGCTCCTCTGTTCATGGGATTCTCCAGGCAACAGTAGGTTGCCATGCCCACCTCCAGGGGGATCTTCTTAACCCAGGGATTGAACCTGCGTCTCCTATGTCTCCTGCATTGTCAGGCAGGTTCTTTACCACTAGGGCCATACAGCTGAGAGTCATAAAAACCTTTAAGGGAAACAGTGAATGTATAGTCAGAGCACCAGGAAAGTGTTACGACTTTGATTACAGAAAAGATCTAACACAAGAGGAACGAAAAAAAGCTGGCTCCAGGTCATACCAAAAAGACAGTCTAAAGCTACAAATAAAGAAAGGCTGTCACAGACGAAAATGGCAACGAATAAGCCATTTCATCCTTTGCTTTTATGTGTAATTTAAAAGGTTCAACAATAGATGCAGCCATGGACGCTCTAGTTCATTGATCGGTTGTCCTGAGGTACTCCTTGGAAGGCACAGGCTGTAAGAAAGCTTCTGGACAGTCGTGTAAAAGAGCTGGAGTTTGGGTTCGGTTTTGTTTTGTTATTTTAAGGGCTACATTTAAAACACAGTATTAGTTGCGAGGAGTTTCCCGACATTGAAAAGATGGACAGTAATCTTAGCCTGCCAACTCCAAGGTCTTCCACTATTGCATCATGTGAAATGAAGCCTCCTCAGGCAGCGACTTGTAAAATTCAAGTCAGGTAAAATGGCAGCAGCAGCAGCTGCCGGTGCCGCCGCCGCTGGCGGCTTCAACTTCAAGAGCGAGCAAGAGAGCGTGTCTCTGCGGAGCTGCCAACTGCTCACAGCAAGTCAGTAAATCAACAGGTCCTGCGCGCGCGCCCGAGGGTGCTCAGACCCCGGCGTGCCAGCCACAGGAGGAAGTGGCTAATTATTTAAAGACAGTATAGAGACCGCAGTTGAAGGTCGGAGTCGGTTCTCCCCGCGCCTTCCCTCCGTCTACCACCCACTCTGGGAATCTGATGGTGAAAGCACCAATTTCTGGGCTGCTGCTCCAGGCCCCTAGCCCTCCAACTCAGGGACAGCTCTGCCTTGCCCGCTGGTGCAGACACCCCGAGGGCTCCTTCTTCCTCCTGCTGGCCCCCTCCTCTCATCGACTGCAAGCCCTTCGATTCTGCCACCGGAAACTTCCATAGAAGGTGAGATTCCCAGATCAGGAGACGGTTCCACAAACTCCAAAGCACCAGTGTCGGGACTTCAGGGTCAGACCCCATAAAGCCTAGGCGTCCCTAGCAAGGCTCAGAACTGCTCTATACTGCGGGTCCTGCGCTCCGCGTGCTCGCACCCATCCACCAGCCGCCCAGTCGCAGTGCCCTAGCTTCCCACGACCCCAGGCGTGATGCCTGGAACCTCAGCAGCGCCTCCGATCCGAGCGCCGCAAAGACCCTCCTCGCTCCAGCAAGGACGGACTTCCCAAGGTCGGGTGTCCCCACTCGCAACCCCCGTCTCTTCCTCCGGGCGGGAGACTGTAGGTTCCAGACAGGCAACCGAGGGGGCGGGGCCTTGGCCGTCCCTGCAGAGCTCGCTCAACCCTGCCGAGCTCGCTCATCCCTCCCGGGCTCCAGGGGTAGTGCCCACACTTCCCACCGGTCAGTACCTCGTCCACTTCCAACTCTGCTCCGTTGCCGACGAGCGCCATGTTCCTCCTCCGGCTGCCGCCGCCCAAAAACCAAACAGGGAGCTCAGAACCAACTCAGTTTCTCAGCCCGGGGCTCAGCCCAGCGCCAGCACGGGAGGAAGAGGGCGGCCCAGCGCTCCCGCCGGGTCCCAGGCGGGGCCAGCGCGCTGCTGAGCAAGTGCTTTCCCCGCCCCCGGCGCCTGCACATCCGCCAAGCATCCATTTCTCAAGCCGGCGCCGGGTGGCCCCCTCGACATAAGCTCCGCCCCTTGCAGGCCTCGCCCCACCCTCTACGAGGCTCTGACTAGAGAAGCCAATCAGATTCTTGCAACGCGTCTCCACCTCCAGACAGCATCCACTTCGGATCCCCTTGGGCGGTCATTCCGTGGGCGGAGTCGCTTTGTGGGCGGAGTCACTCTCGAACCTCGCAGGTCTCGCCCACCCTGTGGGACGGTATTGAATACCTAGGAGTATTCTAGCGCTCTGTGCGGAGGATATTGCTCGCCAGCGGCCAAGAGAGCACCGGCTTAGCGTGGCCAAAATGAAAGCCACGCTATCCCCGAGGCCCATTTGAAACGTCCACCTGGTCCTGAGCCAATGCCAAGTCCCTTCCCTCGCCAAGTGGGCACTGCGTCTCGCAAATGGGGAGGCCAGAAAGCAACCTCACGTCAAGGTCACCAGTCACCCAGAGGTCTTTGTCATTCCACCTACCCAGACACTAGGTGAGGGACATCGTCTTCCCATACAGGGATGATGTGTTTTCTTCTGTGTATGTCTGATAAATAAATTAAAAATCATGGGACAGATATTTATGCAACTTAGAGATCTCTTCTTCCAATATTCTGTCACAATGAACCCTTTTGTAATCCCAAACATATGTGCATAAATCGTGCTTGAACTATATACCCATGAGGGTAGGGATGGGTTGCTGTGTCTTCTTCAAAGTTGTATTCCCAGCACCTGGAACAGTGCCTTGCAGTGGGTGCTCAAAAAATATTTACTGGCTTCCTTTAGAAATTGATTCCTGTGTCTAACACAACTGAAAAATATGAGCTGAATTTTGGTAGTATTGGAGGGGGGGGGCATTAGTCAGCTTTATTTTACATACAATAAAATTCACCAGTTTTAAGCTTCTAATCTGATAAATGTTTACAAAACACCATTCCAATCATAATTTAGAACACACTCATAAAGTTCCCTGTGCCTGTTTGCTGTCAATTTCTTTCACCCATTCTCTGGCCTGGGGCAACCACTGATCTGCTTTCTATCACTTCATCTTGCCTTTTCTAAAATTTCATATCTATAAGTTAATCATAGGGCACATGGTCTTTTGTGTCTGGCTCATGAAAGGCATTTAATGGTCATCCAGTGACAACTACAAAGATTGCTAACATTTATTGAGTACTTCCTATGTTCCAGGACTATCCTGAGCCCCTTGTTTAACTACCTCATCTATCCTTCGTAACCCCATGAAGTAGATACTTAACTTACAGATGAGTAAAATGAGGCTCACAGGGTTCAAGTAATTTGTTTGCAGTCAGACATCTATTAAGGAAGTAAGGATGCCAGAATCTGAACTTCAGCAATCTGACTTAAGGGTGTGGTAGTAACCATTGTTCCACACTGCCTCCAACCACCACCTTCCCCTTCTTTCTCCCTATTTCAGTAGAGCAGCTGCCAGCACATGTCTGTTACACGTACTTTCAGTGAGTCACCTTTGCATCCTTGAAACTTGCTCTACAGTTTTAATGAGTCACTACGTACCTTTATACTAGAAAAATGAAATGGTTCTACCTCACAAGCAGATTAGATTATGGTGATGATTACACAACTCTATGATTCATTACAAATCCTTGAATTGTATAATGTAATGGGTGGATTTTATGCCCCTATATATTATATTTCAGTATCACCACTTTTAAAAACAGGCTAATACATTCTTGCAGCACTCTTAGAATCAGGTATGTGAGGCTAGAAGGGACCTGGGGTCATTTAATTACAATACCCCTGAAAGTTTCCATTCCTCCCCCAACCTCCTGTTTATACTTAGATTTCTGAGGCTGGATTTCCTGTCTGGGTCCAGATCCTACTCCTTATTACTCATGCATGATTCCGTTTTTTAAAATTCATTGGCTCCCAAATTAATATCACATTTTTTAACATTAAGCCATCTCGTGGTGGCTTCTTCCTCTCCTGTATGCTTTGTTATTTTCTTTCAATTTCAGCTCCTCAAATTTTAAAGAGATATAAAAGAACTTGGCTCTATTGAGTGGCATGATGATGTCAAAGTGAGAATCGAGTTTAATTTTTCAGAAATCATTTTTATAAATAAAATTTGGTAGTTTTTTTTTTTATAATCAGAGACCAAATCTGAAACCCTGTGTATTTTAAACTCACGTCACTAGATGAGTATCATTCCTGTTTCTGAGGGAGCCAATTATGAACACAGAATGAATAAGTGTGACCTAGCCCCTGGAACATATAATCAAATTTGCTGCACTCATGGCAGATGCCAACTTCCCCTTCTTGCACATGTGCGATTCTACAAGATTATGAATCACAAATATAAATGAGCTTTTTGCAAAGAATAATTAAAATGAATTCATTTCTGTAACAGAATTCCCCTTTCCAGTTTGCTGATCATGATGTACTCTATCAGTCAAGTGAGATTAGTCAAACATTCCATTTCCCAAAAGAAGCTAGAATAAAAAATATGTATATATATATATATACATATATACATATATTAAAAAAAAGAAGCTAGAATAGAGGTTCTGCAAAAGCAGTGTCCGAATTTTTTTTTTTTTTTGAAGATACATCTACTGGGAGCTGTTTGAGTTTCAAATCTTGCAGACTATCTAATCTTTAGTATTTCTAAACCTGTTTACCTTTAGCACTTGTAAGGTTTTTTTTAAGCTGATGCATGCGTGCTAAGTCACTTCAGTCATGTCTGACTCTTTGCAACCCTATGGATTGTAGCCCTCCAGGCTCCTCTGTCCATGGGATTCTCCAGGCAAGAATATTGGTTTGGGTTGCCATGCCCTCTTCTAGGTAATCTTCCTGACCCAGGGATCAAACCTGAATCTCTTACGTGTCCTGCATTGGCAGGCGAGTTCTTTACCACTAGCACCACCTGGAAAGCCCTTTTTAGTACCTTCATCATTTGTGTAGGAGAGAGAATGATTTTGCATTTAGAAATGAAAAATTTTAGATGCTTGTTTCATATCATTGTAAGTCATGCGTTTGTCAGTGGCTTTGTCTCACAGTCATATCTTAACTCAGCAAGGAGAACTTCCCCTTCTAAATTATCCCTCTTTCTCTGTCCCCCACAAGGTGTCTTCCTGCTGCCTTAGCACTTATCACTATCTGAAAATATCTTGTTCATTTTTCTGTTTACTTGCTTGTGGTCTATCTCTGCCAACAACAACATCCACACATTAGCTGTGATGTAAGCTCCATGAGGGAAGGAACCTTGTGTTTTGTGTCCACAACAAAACCCTAGTGCCTAACACTTAATGGATATTTCATAAATGGTTATTGAGTGAATGAATGAAAGTATATAAAGTTCATAGCACACAGAGCATTTTGTTTAGACCTTGTAATGTCAATGTTTCAGCACAGTGATTTTTTTAAAAACAGAGAAAACCAGTAAAGATGAAGGAGAGTAAAGAATGCAAATTACATGAAGTCTAAAAAGTAAATACTGTTTTTCTTAGGGTGATGTGGCAGGCATGATGACTATCTTTAATGACTATTTTTTTTTCCCCAAAATTATATAAGAGATCCCTTAGTGACCTAAAAGAGTTTAATTCTTGTCACTGAGAGAGGCTTAAATGCTAGGGGGGAAAAAACCTCATTATTTAGTGGAGACTGAAATCCTCCCTTAAGAATATCCTTGTTCTCGGCATTTGGAGCTGGGTAACCACTCATTTTGCCCTGTTTATCGGTTGTTCACTTTTTCACACACATATAGATAATCTTTCCCATCACTTTCCTATTTATTTTCACTATTTCTCTTTAGATTAATCTCACTTTTTCCAGATGACAAGACACCCACAGAAGAGAAAAGCAGAACAGAGACTAATTGTGGCAATATGAAACCTCTGAGTGCAGCGTTGAGGATTTAAAAACAAGAATAAATAAGGACTCTGTGGCAGAGGCTGCTCATTGCCACCAATGTTTGTTCTTCCTGTGTTCTATTGGTAAGAGAACCTGAGTTTATATAAGGCAGCATGGTGTCCAGCTAAAAGATTGCCTTTTCAAGAACTCCTTCACAGCTAGAAATGGCCAGTGTAACTAAATTTCAGACAATGAAATATATTTTACTTCCAGGAAGGCTATTTAAAGGGAAATGACTGAACAGAGGCATGTGGTGCCTTTGCCCTTCTGCCTCTTCTCCTTCCAACAGCCTGGAACAGATGCAATGGCTGGAGCTCCTGCTACCCTTTTGGACCATGAAGTAATACCTTGAGAATGGAAGCCATAAACTAGAAAAGTGGAACAAAAAGACGGGAAGAGTCTGGATTTCTGATGACTGTGGAGCTGCCACACAAGCATTTGATTACCAACCTCCAGATTTCTATTATTCTAAATTACTATTAATTATATTCATTTCAATTACTACCTTAAGTCACCATTATACTGAGTTTTCTGTTAGATGCAAACAATCTTAAATCTATATGTAGAAGTATATAATTCAGTGTTATTAGATGTTCTGGGCTCCCATATACCTTCCCCCTGACTTCAGCTGAAGCATTTGGAACTTCTACCCAATGTTGGATTGGAGCAGACTACTTGGAGCAGTTTTTAAAGCCGTGTACACCTTCTTTCCTGAAGATATGTCCTTCAAGTCCTCTTTCTCCTGGTTCTGTTGTGCCTTCATTTCTGGCATATTTTGCTTCATACTGCTGGATTCTGTTATTGTCCTACAATCCACATATTCTCCAGATTCTGAAAAATATTGATACCAGCATCTTTTTTTATGATATTCTTATCTTGTTTCATGACAGTTTTATCAAACC